CCCCCTTCGCCCCATTTCCATCCCCTGTCTCCCTCCTCAACGGCTGAACCATCTTCTTGATCAACGCCTGCTTCACAAAAAGCTTCGGCTCGTTCATCGCCACAGCGTTATACTGCAACAAGCTGTCGTGCTGGGCAATGGACGCTAGCGTGTCTCTGTGGACATTTGTGAAAAACTCGTCACGAGTCGTATCGGCATTTCCAACGCCTATGTACTTTTCCTTATTCCGAAGGAACTCGTTGTGTTCCCTTACTTTATCAGCCATGAGATGAGATGGATGTCAGCAATGTGCATTCGCGACTTTAGGAGGAGGTCTCAGAATAAGCTTCAGGGTCCCCCCCAGACGAAGCATACGCTAACCCTATCGGCGAACCTTATCGGAAAAGCTGATCTAGCCTCCCAAGCATTTTGATCCACATCGGACGATATGCTCCGATTTTGAGTATGGAGCATGTGAGCAAGCTGGGCTGGTATTGTTGGCCCCACACGGAGGTGAAAATTCACCCTACGGTGAGGAAAAAAACCAAGCTTTTCGCAGCCTCCTTAGTCATTTGTTCCATTGTTGTTCTTGTTTTAGTCATTGCTGAGAAATACGTAGCGCCAGGCGGGAGGATGTCCCTCTTTGGCGGAAGGATCTCCAGAGGCTTCGATATTTTTCAGTGGCTGGAGAATTGCAGCACGGGCAGATGAGTTACGTCTGCTGTGGGGTCCATTTACGAGCCGGGAATGACGCCCGGGCAGGCGACGTTTCACATTGTTTCAAGGGTTTCAAGAGCATAATCCAAAAAGCAAAAACCCAACTTCCTTCTTTCTTTGTATTGTGATTGTTTCAGCTAAAGCCGGTCGCTAGGCTGCTAGTGGCCAGATGGCTGCGAAACGGCTCGGGGTAACATGGATCCGCGAGACAATGCACGTAGCGATCCGGAAATAGCACAAGCACTAAGTGGTGGAAGGGAGGCCTAAGCAGATGAAGAGCTAATCGAAGAAAGAAAAAAATAAGATATATGTATAATTATAAATTGAATAGAATACTTGTATGCTCAAAAGCTGACAACGCTTGGGCCCTGGTTACAAAACTACCGTGGACTAGTCCAAAGGCCTGCGAATGCCTCGTACCCCACCGCTGAGGCATTTTACCCCAGACCGCCGCAGGTCATTTTGGGTTCATGACGCTCGAGGCACCATCACACAACACGAGATTGAAGTGCCATTAAAATGAAAGACCAATTAAAATGAAAAATTAAAAAGCGTTGACAACCTCTGGTGGCCACCGCCTCCAGCTAATCAGCGGTCGTCAATTACAATCGCCTGGTCCAATCCACGAGGCCATATGTCAAATGACCGCACCCGCCTCACCACGGTGAAAATCACCTCAAACCGTATTTTATGGAAACCCAGCGCGGCCAAAGGCAGGGGCCTTGCTTTGGGCCTCTGTACCTAAGATCTCTCGCCGCTACGGCACACCATTGTTCGGTGTTTTCGGTGCGGCCCCGATCGCCTCGTTTCGCAGCCACCAGCAGCAGAGGGTCCCCTCAAAAACGGGGTTTCCAGGGCACGAAAAAGAAAAAAATTAGATCCCCGAGGTCGTGGCCACTTGTAGAATTAGACCATGTTTTCAAAAACTCCATTTTCCCCCGTTGTTCACGTTTGGTCCCGGTGACTCAATGCAGAGGTCGGTCCTCTATGCGGTGCTCTCCTGCGCGGCAGCCCCTCATTCACCCAACTTCCCCAATATATATTCATCTTCTCCCGCCATGAAACAAAAACCAACGGTGGCTGACCTTATCAAAGACTCCGACGACCTGTCCCTTAAGATTTTATCCATGTACCAGCACAAGGCGTACCTTCCTCACAACAAGAGAGTTTCCAACATTGCCTGGCGTATCCAGAACCAGAAGGCCATGAAGCGTCATCAAGGTGGCGTGGAAAAGCCTGCCTTAAAGAGAAAATCCATCGACGTGGACGACCACTTTGACTACGTGGCCCATATCCGCCGTATCTCCCAGGAAGAGACCTCGGAAGAGCCTAAAAACGAGCCCAGACTGATCCCATCGGCCACGCAACAGCATCACCATAATCAGCATCAACACCAGCCTTCCCCACAAAAGCAGGAGGCCACTCCTCTGTCCCTGTTGGAGAAACAAAGCAGCAACGCAAACCCCAACCTGTTCCTTTCCTCGTACATTAGCCTGCTCGAGCTGACCCTCAAGCAAGACTACAAGTTGACGCAGCCCCAGGGCAAAGACTCGTCCAAGGAGTCGCCTCTGCGAAACTACACGTCCAATAATGCCCAGGCGGCGACGCTCTCCCCGGCGCCGCTGGTGAACTCGAAAAACGACTCCTCATCTTCCTCCTCCAAGCCAACGTTGCAGTGCACAAACTGCCACACGAGAACCACCCCGCTCTGGCGTAAAACCAACCAGGGCGATCTCCTCTGCAACGCCTGCGGTTTGTTTTACAAACTCCACGGCATCCTCCGCCCGCTCAACAACTCAGCGTCGGCCCAGCACGGCCAGCCCCCACCCGTGTCCCGTTACGGAGCCTCCTACGATGCTCGCTACAACGGCGGACGCAAATCTCTCGATAACGTCATTTCCAACAACAACACCGGTCTTTTCAAGCAGCTCGGCGCCAAGCCGCTGGACGCTTTTGCCCTGCCCTACGAGGACCACTTGCAGACATTCCTAGACTTCCAGCAACCACACGACGGGCAGAACAACATCCAGAACGGGCCGGACGAGATGGACAAGCTCCTCAACATGAACCTCTTCCAGCTGGACTCCTTCACAATTGGTGCCGACGACTCGCCGCTGCGCCATGTTGATTTTGCATCGATGGACACGGACGCTGGCGCCGGGTTGGCGCATCTTGAAGCGACAGACGAGATACTTATAGACGAGCCGTCGAGAAACGGAACGTGGAACTGGTTGGACTTTGGGCCCGCCACCACCACGGGCGGCGACTGAGCGGAGGGTGAAGAGCAACGGCTGCGGCCAGAATGATAATTTATTTCAGTGAATACATAGCGACTTTGGGAATATATGTGATTGAGGAGCAAGTGACTTCTGAATCGCCTAATAGATAGAAGCCCGGACGTGTGTGTAGAGGATCTGTGCGTAGCTGAATCTGGCAGAAAGCTTAATTCCCTTGGTCTCCTGCGGTGTCTAGCCTATCAGATGTATCGGTGTCCAGCCTATCAGATGTATCAGGTGAAAAAGTGCAACTTGCAGTAGGTGCCCCCTCTCGGCTACAAGACGGTGTTTTTCGGATGGTCACTTTTTCCTTTGTTCAGCAATTTCACCTGCCCAAGCCTAGTTGGAGGGGCCCCTTGCCCGGGAATAAAGCTTAAATAGGTCTCTCCATAAAGGTGCGTGAGCGGCTTGGTTCCTAGGCTGTGTCTGATCGGATCGTCAGATGGCGGACCTGGGTACTCAATGAGGAAAAGCAGAAAAATACCACCGGGGATCAGAACAGAATCTGGAGAAAATAATGCCAGAGGTGAAAATGGGAGCTTATCATATGCGAGGAAGTGATCTTCTGGAAAATCGGGCCCATGCGAGATGATCCCATCAGAGCAACCATTCCGATTCAGCCACGAGGGAATCACTGGGTCAGTGGAGGCATGGTGGAACTGCTATGACACTGTGGATACGGCGATGGCCATCTGGATGTAACCTGGGACGTTTCATTTTGCATCTGGTGAGTGTGCGGCGGCGGCAATTATCAAAAAATCAAATGCCTTAATTTAAAAAGATTTAGAATCCAAAAGGTCAACTACTTCAAAAGTCGAAGCTCAGAGCTACCAGGGGATCAGATCACCGGCATTGTCGCCTGCAGTGAGTGCGATGATTGTGGGTTCATGCATGGACCACCGAGACGAAGTAGCGAGCTGCGCGGCGACGCATGAAGCTGTCAAGCCGAGAAACAAAAGAGCATTTTGGAAAAAAAGCCTGGTAGCAACAAATGCAAAAAACTCTGGAAACCCAGCCAGGGCACGAAAAACGCAAAACCCTCGGGGCTGTCCCAAGCGGGCTTCCCCATGTGGGCGCGCAGGTGCATAATCACGGGGCTTAGAGAGAAGAAACTTGACAGCATGGAAGCAACTGGGGCGGTTGCTGGGCACCCCCGGGGGTACTCCTTGGCTCCTGGCGCTGGGGTGCAAATCAAGGGATGTCTCAGACCGCGGGTTGCTGGAAGCACGGGGAGTAAACGAAGGTTAGCAAGCCGACGGGGCCGGCACGGCCGAGTGTTCTTAGGGAATTGTATGAACAATTGAAATTTAATTGAAGAGAATTAAAATGAATTGAAAGTAGTAAAAAGATTAATCATTGAATGAATCATGGAATTCATGAACTTTATTCACTGCCCTACCCTCCATTTCAGTCGCAGCGCCGCTCTCGTAATTCCTGGCCCACAATTGCTCGGCAGCCCGAGACAAATTTAGCAGCAAGTGCGCTGCCGCTGCCGTCGTTAATAATGCCACATCACCGAAGCGCCGTTGCATAACCAGTGCTTCCACAATTCTTTTCTTTTCGCCTTCTTCTCTAATTTTTCTCGAACTTGTCTCCCCTGACCATTCTGCCCGATCCTATTGTCCCACTTGCTTTGTTGGCTGTGCTGTTTACGTTTGCGCCAAAGAAGGCGCCCCAGTGCCTCCTCTGATTTGGGCCCTGCGACCGCTGGGCGGCTGTTTTTCTTCCCTCGCTTCCAAATTAAGACTGCTAAAAAAACCAACGGTTGCTTGAGCCGCCGGCCTTTTGTGAGCTTTCACCGGCAAATAAAAAAAAAATAACTTCTCCCAAACATCCTTTTTTTTTTCCGTCTGCCCTAAAAAAAAATTCCTCCGTCTTGCTAAAAACAGCCCCTCCCCAAAGGCCCGCTTGCCTCCTGACCTGTGACCCAGCCTGACCTGCACTCCATTAGGCACTAGAATTTTTTGCCTTTACCCTCCAGCACCACCTTCTTCTTCTTCATTCGCTTTCGGCCAGGTGCCTTCTCCAATGGGTCTCTTCAAGAAGTTCCGCTCAGACGAAAAGGCCGCTCCCCAGCCGGCCCCAGGCCCCAAGTCTTCCCTGAATCTGGACTCCCTGGGTGACGTCTCTGAGTTCTCTCTGGCCACCTCCCAGCTGTCCCACCTGTCTCAGGACACTAAACGCCATCTGGACCTCCTACCCAGGAAACCCGTGGCCGCCTCCCAGCTCAACCGCCACCTGCTCCAGCCCAGACTGCTCCAGCCCCAGCTGTTCCACAGTCCTCCCCAGAACCCAGCCACGGTCCAGCAGCACCTGATCCACCAACACCATCCACTGCATCATGCCCCAGGATCCCATGGAGCCCACGCCCCGGCTCACCGCTCAATGTCCCTGAACAGCTTATCCGCATACGGCGCCCAGATCAACATGCCACAGCCCGTCCAGAACTTCTCCGAGGGCTACTCCCAGATCCCCCGCCGCCAGTCCCAGGGCTTCGGCTCCCAGGAGCTCCTCCATGACAACGGCGGTCGCTTGACCCCGGCAAGAAGCAGAGAGTCCCCGCTGGCCCAGAACCGCCAGGTGTCCTCGACTGTGCCTAGCAGCCCGGCTGCACCTAACCGTCCGGCCCGGGTGTCCCACCTGGCCTCCACATCCATGCTGTACGCTGCTCCTGCCGCCTACGCCGACGACTCGTATACGCTGGCGTCGCTGGCGGATGCGTCGCTGGGGCTGGAGGACGAAAGACACCCGTACTACGACCAGTGGAAGCAGTACTACGCTGCCATGGCCAACTACAAGGGGCCCCGCACGGGCTCCAACGCCAACTTGGCCGGAAACGCCAATGTCGTGAGCAACGCCAGCTCCGGCATCAACAACGTGATCAGCGCCTACTCCTCCAGCATCCCGTACTCCCGCTCCTCCTCGGCTAATAACGTGCACCACTCTTACACAAACTTGCCTAGCGCCGCTGGCAACGGTGCAGGCAGCGGGTTGGTCAGAAACTCCCGCATGTCCACGCTCAAGCTGAACCGCCTGTCGCTGGTGCCTTCTCTCGCTCACGCCGAGCAGCGTCCTACACCCAGGGCGGTGTCCATGAACGTTGTGGCGCCCGAAGGCCCGGAAATCGACGAAGAGGCTGTGGTGGACGACCCTCCGGTGCCCTCAATGGTGGGCTCTACGAGCCAGGCGTTCGAGAGGCCTCCTCCAATCAACACCGGCTCGAACTGGTCTGCATCCACCGACCTGACTGCTCTGGACCTCCTGGAGCCTCTGCCAGGCAAATCCATGGCTCGTGAAGACTCGGCCATATCCGACTATGGTAAGTACCTCTTCAACAGCACCATGGACCTGGCTGACGAGGAAATTGATCCCGGCGTCCATGCTGCCATCATAGCTGCCAATGAGGCTCCTCCTGCTCCTCCTGCTGAGGCACCCTCTCGTAACGATTCTACTACGTCTCGTTCGTCGTACAATTCGTTGCAGAGCGAGCTGAACTTCAGCGTCGGCCGCAAGCCTACTAGAATCGCTCCCCAGACAGAGCAGCAGAGGACCTTGTCCCGCCGGAGCCAGAAGGAGCGCCGCCAGAGCAACTTCGTTCCTCCAATGCCCGGTCCTCCTCCACCCATCTTCCCCGGAAGTATGCCTCCTCTGCCTTCGCATGTGCCTTACGGCTATCCAAGCAATGAAAACGTGCCGGACGGTGCTGCTGCTTTCCAACTCCATCAGATGCAGCAGCAAATCCAGCAACTTCAACAGCTCCAGCAGCAGATGCAAATGTACGGGGGAAACCCACGCCACAGCAGGATCTCGGTGTCGCCGCAGCCGGCACCTCCTCGCTCGCTGGACCCCACCATCAACGCTAAGATTGAAGAGTTCGTGGCGCTTCGTCAGACCATTGCCGCAGGCCACAAGACTTTCGACTTCCGTTTACGTTGGGCCAAGATGTTGATCCAGGCGGTGAACTACAAGCTCTATGCTTACATCAACATCAAGGGTGATAGCATTCCATCAGAGCAAGCCGCTATGAACAAGCTCACGTTTGTCAAGCTGGCCGTGACTCATTTGCAGAAAATGTTGAAGGAGCTCGATGTGGAGCAACACACCCCTCAGGATCGCCGTATCTTTGCTGAGGTGTGCTACATCCATGGCTGCTTGCTCATGCATGACTTTGTGCCAAAGTTCGAGCAAGACTTCAACATTCAGCAGGACAAGGACGAGGCTGACCGCTTCTTCCGCAAGTGCTTGGAGCTCAACCCACTTTTTTTCCGTGCCCACTACAAGTTGGCCAATCTCTTCGAGGAAGATCAAACCGAGGAGAGTTTCGACACTGCATTATATCATTACACTCAGGCTGCTAAGTTAGGTTACAACCGCGCCATCTACCAAGTGGCCTTGATCTACTTGACGGTGCCCAAGGTGCGCCTGATCAAGTTCTTCAAGTACTTGAAGAGTCTTTCTGACATTGACATGGATTCTAAGGATATCAAGTTGAGCCCAGAGGACCGTGATGAGCTTGAGGAGATCTCCGGCTTGGCCTCGTTCCAGTTGGCGAAGATCTACGAGGGCATCTACCCTGGTGACTTGACTCAAGACGACGAGTTCGTCAAGCAGTCTTTAGAAATCGCTCCTGTCAACTACGCAAAGAGTTTGAGCTACTACAACAGAGCTGCTAGGCTTCATTGTCTCCAGGCACAGGTTCGTTTGGGACACATCTACGAGAATGGTGACTTGAACAGAAAATACAACCCCAACAAATCCATCCAATGGTTCATCAAGGCGGCTACCTCGCCGTTGAAGTTCAAGCGTCATCCTGAAGCAATGCTAGGCCTTAGCAGATGGTTCATGATCGGCACAGACGGTCTGAGCAAGCATATACCATATCCTGACCCACAGGGCGCCTTCATGTGGGTCGACAGAGCGTGCAAGGAGTTCAGCTTCCCCGAAGCCTTCTACGCTATGGGTCAATTAGCCGAGCAGGGTCTTGCGCAAGGTGATCCATTGGAATGGTATCAGGAATCATACAACAGGGGTTTTGTTGAAGCAGCGACCAAGTTGCCTGGATACGTGCCACCAGAGGTTCCCGAGGAGGAATACCCAGAGGATGTTCCTGAGGGCGCTGATAGTGACGCACAAGAGGGAATGCCAATCCCGGACCAGGCTGCTCTTGATCAGGTTGCTCCAGGTGAGACTGGTCACAATGTGAGTTTCGCTGCTGCACCAGAAGCCGTTCACTAAGGGCTACGGTTTCTAACAATGTCCAAAAATCAGAACAAAATCATAAAAAAAAAAAAGGAAAAAACAAAAGGTATGCATTGAAAACCAACAAAACTTTGAACAACCGTTCGCTGCATGGCGTAGGGCATTGCCGGAACTGTCAATAGATAGCTCGCCAATTAATTGATATTACAGAAAGAAATTGTAGCAAGGTGGTATGATCTGTAGAAGAATGATTGACTTCATGAGGCTAAATCAAAGATCACATTCCACTCATCTATGGATAGAAGCCAGATCTCGTAAAGCCGCAGATCATTGAGATCACGATTTCCTCGCCATGTGAAATATGACCAATCCATAAGTTCTTCTGTTTCATAAATATATGGCTGGCTCATCGAGCCTGTGATGCAGCCATTGTTCACCACATGCTATTGTCCTATTCTTGTAACTCAGCCGCACAAGCCTTCTCCATACAACCTGCCAGAAGAAGACAGCAGTCTTACGACTCAAAAGCACATTTTTAGTGTGAAAAGAATTGGTTTGAAATGGTGCTGAAGGACAGCTTTTTGTGAATGTGATTGTGTATGTGATTGTGGTAGCCTTGCTGGAGGTGTAGATTAGTATCTGAAGCTGCCTTGTCATCGCTGACTTTTATAAGGAAGTAAACTGTTATCAAAACTTCTTATTCCCCTGACTTTTAGAGCTCTCAGATAAGACAATGATGCTGAACCAAGCTCTAAGCTGAAATTTTTATGCTGCTCATTGGTCGGTTCATGAATTCCTCAAGCATGCTCTCCAGCAAAATGTTAGGTGGAGTCCGGTTTTGCACAGCAATGATGTTGAGTTTAGAATACTATTTGTAGTGACGTATTGGAATTCCAACCAGTCCAAGTCAACCACTTGTGCTTTTTATCGAATGCTTTAATGGGATGTCTCACTCCAAACGAATGATCTAGGACGAGCTCAATGTGCCCTGGAAATGAGGAAGGTGTGATAATTAATCATTCAGTAACGAAGAATTTTGTATAAAATGGGCTTGGTGACGATTTCGGGGTTAGGTGGCTACTACTCAGAGCGAAAATGATAAGATGTCCAGAGAATAGAAGACCTTCAACAAGCAAGTATCATCAAAAACGTTGAAAGGCATTCGGTCTAAAATATTTCCTAACAAACCATCGGTCATATCAAGATTTGCCAGTTTAACCAACCTTTGTGTATCTCCGTCACTGACTCAGATGTAATCATAGAACCACCGGGGTACCACATCATACTCATCTCCAAAGCATCGATAAATACGGAAACTACAATTTCATCAATCCAACAATCCACCAATCATCAAATCATATATCCACTCCAGCAAAACCCATTATCCATCACCTCCATCAACCCCACTGGAGCCCTACCACAGTACACCTACATGTGACAAGCCACACCACCTGGCTTTCCACCACCTCCAACACAAAAATTACTTAAAATCCCCAACCCAAGTCAATTTTGTCAATCCCACAGTCAAATTAAAAAATTTCACCTCCACTTTCCCCAGCATGGTGGTTGTGGTGTGGATGGTCTGGGTTCCGCACACCAGACCGCCATTTTTTTCTCAACGCTCCAACACCATCTACACCTCATGTCTGAAAGTACCCAATTTTTCTGTATGTACCGCCCAATTCGACCCTCCTTTCCTTACTAACGCCAGGCCGCCAGCCGAGATCGGTGGACTTAATAGAAAACTACTCCGAGGTGGAGGGTTTCCCCAAGCCTTCTGCTGAGGTTAGATGTGCCCTCTACAGCCCCAACGGCGAAGTGTTTGCCTACACCCAGCCATCCAAAATTGTGCTTGTCACCACGAAAGACGGCACGCCCAGCAACGAGGTTTTGGCTGAGGTGGACGTGAAGGAGGCGTACGATTTGCATTTTTCGCCCAACGGTCGCTTCTTGGCCATCTGGACCAGACCCGTGTTGGTGGACAGAGAAAGCGGCGTGTGGTCCGATAACATTCATGTTTTCGACTCCGAGGCCAAGAAGGTGGTGACCTCGTGGAGCAACAAGCACCAGGGCGGATGGCAACCCCAGTTCACCCAGGACAGCCGGATCATGGCCAAGAACTTCCACAATAAGGAGATCCACTTTTTCGAAGTCAGCGAAGCCTTCGACATCAAGAAGCCCACGTACAAGTTCAAGCTCCAGGACCTGGGCGCCACGTTCCAGAACTTCCAGATCAGCCCGGGTAAGAACCCAGCGGTGGCCATCTTCATCCCAGAAAAGGGCGGCAAGCCAGCCCAGGTGCTCATTTACAACGTGCCTTCTTTCAACCAGCCCATCTGTTCCAAGACGTTTTTCAAGGCTGAGAAGTGCCAGTTGAAGTGGAACGCTTTGGGTACTGCTTTGCTTGCATTGGCCTCCACGGACCATGATACCAGCAACAAGTCGTACTACGGCGAAACCAACTTGTATTTATTGGGCATTGCCGGCTCGTACGAGCGTATTGACTTGAAGAGAGAGGGACCCATTCACGACATCACCTGGTCGCCGCTGGCCAGAGAGTTTGCCGTGAGTTACGGCTACATGCCCTCAGAGACGACATTTTTCGATGCCAGAGGCAACTCCATCCACTCATTGCCCACTGCGCCTAGAAACACGATAATATATTCTCCTCACGGCCGCTTCGTGCTCGTTGCCGGCTTTGGTAACTTGCAAGGTACTGTCGATGTGTACGACCGTCAGAACAAGTTCAGCAAGGTGTGCACGTTTGAGGCCTCCAACACCTCCGTGTGTGAGTGGTCACCTTGTGGTCGTTTCATCTTGACTGCCACCACCTCCCCCCGTTTGCGTGTGGACAACGGCTTGAAGGTGTGGCATGCCAGCGGCCAGTTGGTGTACTTCAGAGAGTACCCTGAGTTGTTTTCCATCACTTGGAAGCCTCAGCCACTCGACAAGTTCCCAGGCTTGAGACAACTAGAAGCCTGTCCCGAGCCTCAGCAGTCTGCCAAGGACTATTTGGCCAAGCGTGCCGCTTCCCGTGGTCTGGCTACTGCCAAACCAGCAGGTGCCTACAGACCACCACATGCTAGAAACTCCGGTGCTGCTGCCACCTCGACGTCTTTGTACCAGAAGGAAATGCAGAGCAGTTTTGGCTCTGCTGGCAACGGTGCTAGGAAAGTGGTGCCAGGTATGGTTCCTGGAGCTGCTGCTCCACAGCAGAAGGAAAGCAAGACCGCTGCGAAGAACAGAAAGAAGAGAGAGGCCAAGAAGGCCGAGGACAGTGTGAGTCCGGCTCCAGAGTCTGCGCCAGCATCGTCGCCAGCACCTGATGCAGGTGTTGTCGGTGGTGTGGTTTCGTTGGAGGAGAAGAAGATCCGTCTGTTGTTGAAGAAGCTCCGGGCGATCGAGACGTTGAAGATGAAGCAGGCGCTGGGCGACCAGTTAGAGGACACTCAGGTGAGCAAGATCAACAAGGAGGGCGATATCCGCAAGGAGTTGAGCGACTTGGGGTGGACGGAGTAGAGAAAATAGATTGCCTAGGGGTACCTAGAAATGGATTCAGCCTTCAGGTGTTGTGAAGGATTGACAGAGGATGTAGACGGGCTATTTTGTAGATGCTACGGGTTTTTGATTTTTTATGATGGTGTTGGGTTTTAGGGAATGGCTGTGTTTGAAAAATGGCTGCGAAATTCACAGATCGGTGCACAATGCGAAGCGATGAGGAAAGTGGAAAAATCACATCACACATAATACATCACACATAATATCATACGAAATAAAGGTTAGTGTAGAGTGAAATTTGTCGTCTTTCGTGACTACCGAAAATTTTATCAGACTAGGCGATCGGAACCTTTCCGTTTACGGAAAAGCAACGGTCTAAGACACCTGAGTAGGGCGCCTAAATGAAGCAGACGAAAATGTGACAGTCGGCAATCCTTGAAAGCCTCTCACTAGACGAGATGGCCAGGTGACCAAGTAGCACAATCACGATTCAGGTTGAGGCATCAACAGACTCAAGCATGATCAAAAAACTCAAGCATCAAAAGCGTTCAAGCATTTTGAAAATTATTTCAAAAACTACATCATCCAAGACCGACCGCGTCACTTCGTATACTTGATGGTAACGCACATCAAAAAACAAGTGTCCACGCTCCGCCTTGCTGCGCAGTCGGTGAAAAATAGGCGTAATCCGTAAGCCACAGGAAGACAGCGTTATCAGAATAAGCCCCATAGCAAGCGCCAAACAAACATTTAGTCAAATTTTCGAATGCAAACGCTCTCCCTGATTTCCCAAATTTCCCACAGCAACTGTCCCTTCAGCGCCTGCGTGGACGTGTTTTACCCGTTCCACGGCGGGTTTTGTGTTACGCTCGAGGCAGCAAGGCTTTCCTGCCGAGGACCACTATTAGTGGCCAGTGCGAGCCCGTGCGATTGTCTGGCGCAGGGGCATGAGTTCTGGGCAAATAAAGTTTGAGAGGTAAAAAGAGGCAACTTTTGGAAAGGTTAAAAAGGAAGAGGAAACAATAAGGTTTTTTCTGAAATTTCCGGCTCGTCAGGTGGAACAACGCAGAGGGTGGGTCGAGGTGGACAGTGAAAAAAAAAAAAAAAAGCGTTGCACAATATGGTCTGCCTCAGCACCAAGAAATCGCAGCGCTAGGCACAGCCGTCATTGAAGTGACGGCCCCATTGTAGGTGTCAAGCAAGGGGAGGCGTATTTAACGTTTTCTTAAATATCTTCTAAAATATCTTCAAAAGCTTTCATCTCTTTAAAAACTTTCATCTCTTTTCTCTTTGGCCGCCGGCCAGGTTTCGCAGCCAGCCAGGTAAACAGCAACCCCCTGCGCGGACTTCCTTCGGGCCCACCGGCACCCGTAATCCACCACGAAACAGGCACTGCCGATCACCGTTTGGCCTAGGGAAGAACTAGGGAAATTGCAAAAAAGCCTGGACCCGTCATCCTCTCTATATATGATTATTTTTTTTCTTGAATCTCCATAATTTCCAATTCCAAAATATCTCAAATAATTCCTTTCTTCCGT